CAAATTGGTGAGTACATTGATTGACGGTTGAGAGGCGGGACCAAAGAGCCAGAGCTCAACCCTCCCGCAAACACAACTAGGTGAGTACAGAGCTCTGTAGTCGTAGTAGTTGATAGTTAATCTGTTGATAGGTTGATATGATATCTTGATTGATGATATAAGTCCTGTTGATGATTCCCGATGACTGTCTGTTGATGGGTTGATGCTATGATATTTATAATTGATGGGTTGATAATGTGAGGCCTTTTAATGGGTTGATGATAATATTTGTTGATGGAGTGGTGAGATAATATGTGTTGATGAACTGATGATATGATTCCTTCTGATGAGTTGGCATGATGTCTGTTGATGAATTGATGACACATAATACTCGTCGATGAGCTCATGACAACATCTGTTTTAGAGTTGATATGATGCGTTTTGATGAGTTGATATACTGTATGTTTATTGATGGCATAATACAAGTTGATGAGTTGATGATAAGCCCTGTTGATGAATTGATGATCTTGCGCCTCCACGAGAAAACAATCGAATTCTTTCTGCTTTAATCAATCAAATCATCATCAATCATCAATCAAATCATCTCAATCATCATCTCAAGATAATATTCAATTCATCAACACATGGAAATTTGAGCAACTGAGAAATGCAGATTTTCTTTGCATTTGTCAACCTCAATTTTACGAAACATGTACATCTTTTAACAATCATGACGGCTTTGTTTACACATATTAAACACTTTAGTCGTCTCGGAAGCTTCACAACTCAAGGTTATTAGTTATAAACAACTCTATTGTGGTTCTGAGCTTATAAATTGTTTAAAAATATCAAGAAAGTAGTCATGATTGAGGAAAGATGTACAGGTTTCGCCATGTTATGGCTTTATGAACTCTTATGTTTCTATTCTATCTTGTATATCTGCCGTATTTCTTCTCTTAATTCTTTTGTCCCCTCTTAATGCTTCTCCTATCTCCCTTCCCTTCCTTTATTCCTTTTCTCTTTTAATTCTTCTCATTTCCCTTCTGCCTACTCTTCTTTTTTTCCTACTTCCGCTGCTCCTCCTCCTCCTTCTCTCTCCCTTCTTCTCTCCTCCTTCCTCTCTTCTCCTCTTTAAGCCATCTTTCTCTTGAGAAAACACTTCCCAACACCTTTGTATCTTGGCTTCCCAACACCTTTGTATCTTGGCTTCCCAACACCTTTGTATCTTGGCTTCCCAACACCTTTGTATCTTGGCTTCCCAACACCTTTGTATCTTGGCCCATGATAGTGTCTAGATTATGAACCCTTAAATACACGCTATGGTGAAACGTCACTATTAATCTCCACTGTTAGGAAGCTTGACTTCTTGACAGTCTTGGCAGGACAGAATCACTTGACGGAATGTAGCTCGTTGGACTAGTGACGGTGCTTCTTGACAGTTATTCATGGCTTTTGATATCACTTGACAGGGTATGGTACATATATGATAAGCTTGTGGCGCTGTCTCTTGACAGGAAGACCTGGCAAGCAGTAATACCCTTGACGGAATGTAGCACGTTAAGGTCCAGAGTAATAATATTAGACTCTATGTTCTATGTTCTCTCTCTCTCTCTCTCTCTCTCTCCTCTCTCTCTCTCTCTCTCTCTCTCTCTCTCTCTCTCTCTCTCTCTCCTCTCTCTCTCTCTCTCTCTAGCTCTAATATATTACCTAGTCTTCACCTGAACACTGTGAACAGAAGTTATAAGTGATTTTGATTATGAAGTTATAAGTTATCTTGAATATACTGTAGATAATGATCACCAGTTTTGCTGTTATTTTAACTTTCTCCTGAGTAAATAAGTACCTATAAATTTTGAGTAAACTATATATATATATATATATAATATATATATATATATATATATATATATATATATATATGTCGTACCTAGTAGCCAGAACGCACTTTTCAGCCTACTATGCAATGACCGATTTGCCTAATAAGCCAAGTTTCTTTAATTAATATATTTTCTCTGATTTTTTTCTTAGGAAATGATAAAGCTACCTATTTCATTATGTTTGAGGACAATTTTTTTTTTATTGGAGTTTAAAATCAACGTAGATATATGACTGAACCTAACCAACCCTACTACCTAACCTAACCTAACCTATCTGTATAGTTAGGTTAGGTTAGGTAGCCGAAAAAGTTAGGTTAGGTTAGGTTAGGTAGGTTAGGTAGTTGAAAAACCATTAATTCATGAAAACTTGGCTTATTAGGCCAATAGGGCCTTGCATAGTAGGCTGAGAAGTGAGTTCTGGCTAATAGGTACGACATATAATATATATATATTATATATATATATATATATATACTATATAATGCACAGACTACCCTATTCCAGTAGAGCTGAAGTTTATAACTTTTTAGACACTCAACCCACCAGGAGACTCGAAACACTGGCCAACAAGGTGGCAGTTGCATGCTGTATCCACTACGCTATACTTCAAAGCCATAAGAGAGGTAGGAATTCGGGTAATATATATATATATATATATATATATATATATATATATATATATATATATATATATATATATATATATATATTTGGAATTGCCCAAATAATTCATTTTTTAACACATGAACACAACGTAAAGAAACTAAAGAACCGCTATAAGGAGACATGACCGCAACATATATGATACTTAATTACACAGAGCAATTGACACAAGAACAATTATGTGATAGGCAGATGATGATTACGCAGAATACCATTAGGAATCTTAAACATGGAAAGGTTTTTACAACTAGTCTAAGAAATATTGAATTAATTACTTTCTTAATGAGAATATTTTAGGAGCAGGGCGGGGGGCTCGGACCTCCGACGCGCGCCTTACCTCTGAACACACTGAGAATCTGGGTTATAGCATGTCATGGTTCATGGGTAAGGCGTGTGTATGTGTCTGAGAGGGGGGGGGGGGTGACCCCCAGGAAGCCGACTCGATTCTATCCTCCTGCACCATTGTAATTTTCTTGTATATTTTCCAAAAAGTTGCAATTACAACCCCTAATTACAACCCTTAATTCCAAACTTATATACAACCCTTAATTACAAAGTGACTATCCAATCCTTAACAAATAAGTTAGTGACATAGATTTTAATTTTGAAAATAATATATGCATACCTTCACAACATTTTAATTTCATAACAGCTTGAAAAAATCTTCATAAAAAAGACCTCTCTCCCCAAAAATGCTTAATGTCATGAGCTGGGAAAAATCTTCAAGATAATCTTTCGCTAGCCACAACAAGCTGCTTTCTCTCCCCAAGGCCACTACGCACGGTGGCTCTCAGGCAGTGGAAGGTCCAATTGCGCAAAGTAACTACAAGGTAATCACAAGGTAGCCACAAGGTAGCTATACAAAGCAGTCATGTTTCATACCCTTATAATGTTCACTAAAAAGTATTAACACATTAACAGTTAATGACACAGAGTTAAATAAGATATCAAAGTCACCTTTGCTCGTCAGAACGGACGTGGCAAATATCTTCCATAACACGACTCGATAACGGTCCATAACGAACCGAAACATCGTCGCTTTTCCATCTTCTGAGTTGTGGTTTGGTCATTTCTTCAGCCACGTTATTGTGACTCATCGTCTGCATCTTCAGTAACAAGTAATTCATTGAGCGGATGTTACTCAGCCGTGAGAATACCTTAGATTGTGAAGCGTATTCGCCTGTGATTCACATAGATGTTTGTAATATTTTGGATCATTTTTATTAAGCAATGTTATTTGAAAGTTATGTGTAAACTTGATCAATTAATAACAGAATTAATAAAAATTATAACCACGAAGATTTTCCCTAAAGCAACAATTGTTGGTACTATAATCAGTACTGAATTATCGATATGCAAGAAATTATACATCTAGCGATTATACAGTGAACAATAATATACAATATGAGTACAGTATATATTCAATATCAGTACTGTATAATATAATACAATCTACAATATATAAGCACTGATGTGCGTAAACAACACATGCACTGTGTTTACCTCTTGTAGTTCCGTGTTACGCAATATGTTCCTGTAGAGTTATGATGCTACCTTAAGTTGAAACATCCATGAGACTGGTAAAAGAAGCATTATATAACTGGATGTGACTGTAGCAACAACATAGTTGGTTGTGATTGTCAAATCGCAGAGAGAAAAGCGATCTATTTATAATAAAATATTTCGATATGATAACTTCACATCTATCACCTATGGTGGTTTGGTTGTTAAGAGTGTCCTACATCTAACCTTTTCTATACGATTTGTCTTTCTAACCATCAATCTGGAGAAAGTATCGTTGAACTATTGGTCATCTTTGAAGACTTGGGTGGTATTAGTTTTGAGAAAGGGAGTATGGGTGAAGCTCCACAGTTCTCTGAAGTTTGGTCGGGAAGCTGGATGTCTGCATCTCCGGTCGCCATTTTTCTTGTCGTCGATGCCGGCGAAGAGCGGCTTGTCTCGCAGCTTTCGTCGTCTATGAACTTAAACTCGAGAGGGTTGTTCTCTTCCACGCTACTCAGAGAAGAGGAGGGAGTCGGTGTTATCTCTAGCACCGTCGTCTCCATATCATCCAAGAAATTCTTCTCCGCATTCACTTCAGCTTTCAACACGTTATGAAGATTTTCCTTGGAAATCTGCGGAGGTATTGAAAAGTTTTGTTTATAGAATTTTTATTTTGTGTTATGTATAAAGCAATACTCCACTTAACTTTTCCTTAAAAGTAAATAATAAATTTTATTAATTTTTTTTGTAACTAAAGTATGTAACAAAATATGCCAATGAAAAACAAGCAAGAGTAGATTTCTTAATAATTTGAAAATAAGTGTCATGACAACACTATCTCAAATATTTTTTTTAGCAAAATAATTTATGCAAATCAAAGTTTTTGAAACTCCTAAAGTTCAGAAGCACGAAAACCTCCAAAAAGTTGGGGATTCAAGACGACACAGACCTTGGACGTACGAAGCATTTCAGGTTTAGTTACACGATGCAAGGGGGCCTTAAATAACCTACATGGACAGAATGCATTAAGTTTCCTCTCAGGTTGTTAGCACCAACCTCTTCCCTTGTTGTTGTTATAGATTCAGCTACTCGGAACAAGTTCCAAGTAGCACGGGCTATGGTGAGCCCGTAGTGGACTTACCTGGCACAAGAGCGGGGCTGAATGAGTGATCCTCTTCCCTCTTTGTCTCTACACTTATCCTGCTCATCTCACTATATGTGTTTGCACGGGGGGAACCAATGGTACACGTGCCGAATGTGGCACGCGTGCCGAACGTGGCACGCATATTGATTTGTATTTTGTTTTGCATATTGTTATTGGTCGGCTAAACAAAGTTCCTTAAGAATTTTTTCCTCCATGGGCACTTGAGAGAACTTTCTAGGGAATTTTAATTATCCTAATTAAATTTTAATTAGCTTTTTATATCTCTGTCTTGTGATTCCCTACAAATTAGTTTACTGTGCACTCCTGTTGTTCAATAAATCCTTCTAAATACTTTATTATCCTCTGCCTATATCATATCATCTTTCTTTCACCTTTCCTCTCCTCATTCTATTATTTCCCCTTATTATCTCTTTTATAATGCCTCTTATATCGGTTCTACTCTTAACCCATACCTTTATCATTTTACCCCTCTTTCCTATTCCGTTATCATCATCTTTTTTGAGATATATACAAGAGTTGTTACATTCTTGTACAGCCACTAGTACGCGTAGCGTTTCGGGCAGGTCCCTGGAATACGATCCCCGCCGCGAAGAATCGTTGTTACAACCAAGTACACATTTTACTGTTGAGTTAAACAGACGCTACAGTTCAGGATTTGCGCCCAGTAAATCCTCCCCGGCCAGGATACGAACCCATGACAAAGCGTTCGCGGAACGCCAGGCGAGTGTCTTACCACTACACCACAGAGACTGGTAATTTGCTGATTTGGATTACACCACGGTCGGCCGAGCGGACAGCACGCTGGACTTATGATCCTGTGGTCCTGGGTTCGATCCCAGGCGCCGGCGAGAAACAACGGGCAGAGTTTCTTTCACCGTATGCCCAGGTTACCTAGCAGTAAAATAGGTACCTGGGTGTTAGTCAGCTGTCACGGGCTGCTTCCTGGGGGTGGAGGCCTGGTCGAGGACCGTGCCGCGGGGACACTAAAGCCCCGAAATCATCTCAAGATAATCTCAAGATACGGTAATCTGTTCCTTCCCTCGCTATCATCATTTGTTATCATATCCCTTGAGTCCCTCAACCAATCCTATATCCTCATCTTATTCCAAACACCATGAAAGTTAGGAGGTTACTACCTGACGGTGATAGGCGTCCTCCCTATCCGTGTTCTCTACAGGACTCTGCCCAGGATAGATGCTGCTACTGAAGGCTTGAGTCGCTTGTTTGGTGCGAACCATTGGGGAGACGTGCGAGTGCTTGTTAACGAGGCTGTGGGTGTTGTTCAGTTGCTGGTGGGTGTCCAGTGGTGGGCTGAGGGTGAGGTGGTGCGGGCTGCGACCGAAGCCATATTGGAGAGTCACCCTTGCATCCAAGGCACCAATTCCGTTTTCTTTGAAACATCTATTGGCGGGAAAAAAGTGGAAATGTCTTCAATGGTGAGTTTATATTAAATTTGTACAAAAAACGTTTTTAAAGTTGGTGGAAATGTGATTAGGAAATTATTTTGTCTAGTGCTGAGGAGAATGGAAATTTATTGAAATGCAAATTGTTAAAAGTTGGTGTGTTTCTGGGTGTTCTTAAATGTTATCTATCAACTGACTACACCTAATAATAACAGTGAATAACACGAGAACAGCATGAGTTGGATGATAACAAGATAACACCATGAGTTAGATGATAACAAGAGCCTGAGATACACTATAAAAATATAAGCAAACTCCTATATAACATAAAGAGTTAACTAAGAATCTGAGTGAACTGCACAAGGAGATGCTGAGAGGCAACTCAGTACATAATATCAAGTATAATATTCACATTGAACGTTCGCCAGCAGATGGGACCCAAGAGCTGAAGCTCGACCATGGATGACTATATATATGGAGCAACACTTACCCTGACGTCAGGTGGGGGGAGGTATCTCTTGGAGGCATAGGGGAAGGTGTAGAGGAGGACTTAGACACCCGCCGGCAGACAGACTTGATAGAGTTGGTATTGGATCCCCTTCCAACGCTCCCTGCCGTGACGGAGGCCACGAAAGAGTGAGCAAGGGGCTGTTGATGGTAGGCACACGGCACGAATGTCAGTAGGAATGTCCGACGGTACTGAAATATGAGGAACACCTATAATTGGTGGAGCGTCAGTTGTATAAAGTCTTTTGAGTGTTGTGAAGTTTTAGGGATTCGAGTTTTAGGGAGGTTTATTTAAGGGGGTTATCATTCCCTCTAGTGGCTCAATGGAGATAGGAAGCCGGGGGCTTGTCAAGGACCCCCCCCCCCAATCGTTACTGAGGATTTTTTTAATTGGATTTTCAATCTGTTTTATTTTGACAGAGGCGATTCCATGGGTTTATATTTTGGTGTTTTAGTCTTGGGTAAGGAGCACTAAACCATTACTATAGCACTTGGTAGGGAAACGAGGATAGGGATTTGCGATAGGATAGGGAAAAGGAACGATGTTGAACCACCTGGGCAGTCGGGGATTGAACCCCGACCAGCAAGACGCGAGGGCCTCCCCTTATCCAAGTGGTTGGGATCGGCCCGATTGAGTCCATCCTACTGTCCATGTCTGACTTGTCATAGTGCAGCCTTACTCCTCGTTTTCTCCTGCTTTCAAACATTATTACTGCCATAGTCTTTATCTCCATCTATTGTGACTTTTATTTATCTCCATCTATTGTGACTTTTATTTATCTCCATCTATTGTGACTTTTATTTATCTCCATCTATTGTGACTTTTATTTATCTCCATCTATTGTGACTTTTATTTATCTCCATCTATTGTGACTTTTATTTATCTCCATCTATTGTGACTTTTATTTATCTCCATCTATTGTGACTTTTATCTCCATCTATTGTGACTTTTATTTATCTCCATCTATTGTGACTTTTATTTATCTCCATCTATTGTGACTTTTATTTATCTCCATCTATTGTGACTTTTATTTATCTCCATCTATTGTGACTTTTATTTATCTCCATCTATTGTGACTTTTATCTCCATCTATTGTGACTTTTATTTATCTCCATCTATTGTGACTTTTTTTATCTCCATCTATTGTGACTTTTATTTATCTCCATCTATTGTGACTTTTATCTCCATCTATTGTGACTTTTATTTATCTCCATCTATTGTGACTTTTATTTATCTCCATCTATTGTGACTTTTATCTCCATCTATTGTGACTTTTATTTATCTCCATCTATTGTGACTTTTATCTCCATCTATTGTGACTTTTATCTCCATCTATTGTGACTTTTATCTCCATCTATTGTGACTTTACCTATCCTATCGCTCCTTTAATCTCCCTTTATTTATTAAATAAGAAAATGCTATTTGAGGCACTTTTGTTTGTTTTTACTTTGTCATTGTAATATTGTATTTCCTTGCTGTCTTGTCTTAATATTCTTCTTGGGTCTTTCCGCGCCATAATTGTTGCTTCCGGCCGACTGGAGCGCTGTTCTTTGTGTAAGTTTAAGGCGGCCAGATGAGACGAGGCTTTTATCTCTGTGTCCGCCTCCTTGTTAGCAGTTCCTGCGTCGTCTTCGTAGGCTGCTTGTTGGTTTAAAACAAGGCACGTGACGTTATTCTTAAGTACTTGGTCTATTCTCACATTCTCACTCTTCTCTCCTCTCCTTACTTCCTTTCTCACTCTTTCTCAACCTCTACCCCCCTCTCCTCCTCCTACCTACTATCTCCATTTTCCCCTTTTTATTCTGTGACTATGTACCTATCTCTGTATTATAAACTTTTTTCCTTATTAGCGTTACTTAATAGCTCGGTCGATAGAGATTCGCTTTTACACGCCTGGGGTTCACTGTTCGAGTTCCCTAGAACCCAGGTGAATGGAGTATTACTGTCTGTGTGACTGTCTCTGTGTCTGTCTGTGGTATTGTCTCTGTGTCGCTCTGTGGTCCTGTCTCTGTGTCTGACTGTCTGTGACTTTATGTTTCTCTCGCTTATTGTATATCCTGTTTTCCTCTTGTCTCTCTCTCTCTCTCTCTCTCTCTCTCTCTCTCTCTCTCTCTCTCTCTCTCTCTCTCTCTCTCTCTCTCTCTCTCTCTCTCTCTCTCTCTCTCTCTCTCTCTCTCTCTCTGCTACACAGATCTAAACAAGATACGAACATGGACCTAGCGAATGTTTTATCTGAAACCCGTTTAGCTGTATTTCAGAGATGACGTTTATTCCTACTGAAAGCACAGTATATTGTAGCGTCCCCTCGCTTCCTCCGGACTCCAGATAGTGGTTGGGTAGTTTATGTGGTGGTTACTGGGGGGGGGAGGGGGTAGTAGTTGTGGTGTGGCAGTGGCATAGCGGCATAGTGCCACCGCCAGGGTGTCACTGACCTTGTCTGAGAAGGCGCAGTAGAGGATAAAGTTGGCGGCAGCATTGACAGCATTGAGGAGGTTGAAGATATTCCCAAGTCCTCTCATGATAGCGAAGGTGGGTGTCTTCGACGGTGGCTCGTATACCGTGCTGTAGGGAAGGGAGAGATGGGAGGGAAGGAAGGAGTGGGAAAGGAGAAGCAGCAGGGAAGGGGAGAGAGAGAGAGAGAGAGAGAGAGAGAGAGAGAGAGAGAGAGAGAGAGAGAGAGAGAGACAGACAGAGAGAGAGAGGAAAGAGAACAGCAGGGAGAAATCATATAATTTTTAGTTTCAATATATTCCAAGTGCTAATTAGTAAACAAATACTTGAAAAATTTAGTAATAAGTCGAGAAATTAGTGGAAGAATTTATGAATGGATAATTTGATGGATTGAGAATGAGCAATGGGAGAAATTAATGAATAAATGGATAAGTGAATCACAAGAATGAATAAACAGATGAATATAGACACTTAGAGTTATCCAGGACCTACACTGACGAAGTTAGATTTAAAAATGGATTAAATTGCGAACAAGTTACTCCAGATGTTGTAGATGAGGGGAGATGTTGGGGGAACTTAATAAAGTTGACGGATTTACTGAACTGTAGCATATTGACTAACACCATTTGACTCTCTCTCTCTCTCTCTCTCTCTCTCTCTCTCTCTCTCTCTCTCTCTCTCTCTCTCTCTCTCTCTCTCTCTCTCTCTCTCTCTCTCTCTCTCTCTCTCTCTCTCTCTCTCTCTCTCTCGCCTTTTCTGGTCTGCTGGACGAACCAATATCAAACTCACTCCACCTTCTGCTGCTCATTTAGGAAGTGAGTAATAAAATCAATGTCTATGCTTCGAGGCGAGGGAGGGTGTGTGGGAGTGTGTGGGAGTGTGGGGGAGTGTGTGGGAGTGTGTGGGTGTGTGTGGGTGTGTGTGTGAGTGTGTGGGAGTGTGTGGGTGTGTGTGGGAGTGTGTGTGGGTGTGTGTGGGAGTGTGTGGGTGTGTGTGGGAGTGTGTGGTGTGTGTGGGTGTGTGTGTGAGTGTGTGGGAGTGTGTGGGTGTGTGTGGGAGTGTGTGGGGTGTGTGGGTGTGTGTGTGAGTGTGTGGGAGTGTGTGGGTGTGTGTGGGAGTGTGTGTGTGTGGGTGTGTGTGGGTGTGTGTGGGTGTGTGTGGGTGTGTGTGGGAGTGTGTGGGTGTGTGTGGGTGTGTGTGGGTGTGTGTGGGTGTGTGTGGGAGTGTGTGGGTGTGTGTGGGTGTGTGTGTGGACCGTTGAACATATGTGTTGCTCGCATGCACTCTAGGTATGCACTCCAGGTATGCACTCCAGGCATGCACTCCAGGCATGCACTCCAGGCATGCACTCCAGGCATGCACTCCAGGTATGCACTCTTGTTCATAAACACAGTTCTCCAAGCTAACTTTAGTTTTACCAGTAAAATTAACAAAATGAGTAAAAATATGAAGAACAAATGCAAGAAGTGACCTCCATCATAGAACAGAATAACAATAGTTGACCTGCATAGAACAGAATAACATCTGATTTTCCATGAGAACATTAGTTAAATGCATATACATCATCGTATATAATATCTGCACAGAATTACTTGCGAAACATCTACATCTTTCCTCAATCATGGCGGCTTTGTTTACATATATTAAACATGTGGGCTTCGGAGCGCTATATGAGGTTGTTTATAACAATAATAACCTTGGGTTGTGGAGTTTATAACCTCGTAAACTGTTTAAGAAATTTAAATAAAGAAGATATTATTAAGGAGAGATGGACTGGTTTCGTCGGAGGGTTATATAGTAGATATTTTGTACTGTATAGTGTCTTATTTGTGTAGTATTGCTTATGTTAAGTGTCTGCCCCCCCCCTTACCCGTCATCTTACATAGCATTTCACCATCACCTCATCTCACTATCACAGCATCTCACTATCACAGCATCTCACTATCACAGCATCTCACCATCACAGCATCTCACTATCACCTCATCTCACTTTCACAGCATCTCACTATCACCTCATCTCACCATCACCTCATCTCACCATCACCTCATCTCACCATCACATCACCTCACCTGTACAACAGGAGAACAGCTGTGGGCATCTGACAGAGGAGGGCCAGAATCACTACAGCTATGAGCATCACTGTAATCTTGTGTTCCTGCTGGTGGCTGTAATGGTCCCGGTCTGACACCATAGTCATCTTCCTCCTGTGGAGCTTGCTCCTGACGTAGAAAATACCAAATCAGAATTTAAAGCAGAAAGGATCGAATCAATGAGCCAGCAGTTAGTAGCTCTCTCTCTTTCTCTCTCTCTCTCTCTCTCTCTCTCTCTCTCTCTCTCTCTCTCTCTCTCTCTCTCTCTCTCTCTCTCTCTCTCTCTCTCTCTCTCTCTCTCTCTCTCTCTCTCTCTCTCTCTCGTCTCATCTACTGTCTATCTGTTATTATCTCTGTCTGTGGGTGTGTATCCCTCTTTTATCTATCTATCTATCTATGTACGTGCGTATCTATGTCTATCGGGATATCATGGAAGTCGATAACCGGATTTTGGTTGATATAGTTAGGATGGGGAAGGTTAAGTTATTTAGAGGGCTTGGGGGGCTAAAGTGGAGGTCTTACCCTACTGGTTTACCCTAGACCACCACCCCTTACCCTACTAGTTTACCCTAGACCACCACCCCTTACCCTACTAGTTTACCCTAGACCACCACCCCCTTACCCTACTAGTTTACCCTAGACCACCACCCCCTTACCCTGCTAGTTTACCCTAGACCACCACCACCTTCTTACCCTCCTAGTTTACCCTAAACCTCCCACCCCCCTTACCCTACCAGTTTACCCTGAACCACGACCCGCCAATCCGTTAACAACCAGTTTAACAACAATTACTGTTGTGTGAACTAGGGCGAGTAATTAAGGCTTAGCGCCCAGACAATCTACCCGAGCCAGGACTCGAACCCAGACTAAATAGTTCTTGAGGCGTGAGGCGAGTGTGTTACCAGTGAGCCATCAGAGACAGCAACTGGAGAAGGGATCTGTCAGCGGGGGAAAGCGCCAAGCCATTTCGACTATATAGCATTTGGAAGGGGTCAGGATAAGGATTTGGGATGGGACGGGGGGAAGGAGTGGTCTCAGACGGGCTCACATGGTCTCAGACGGGCTCACAATGGTCTCAGACGGGCTCACAATGGTCTCAGACGGGCTCACATGGTCTCAGACGGGCTCACATGGTCTCAGACGGGCTCACAATGGTCTCAGACGGGCTCACATGGTCTCAGACGGGCTCACAATGGTCTCAGACGGGCTCACATGGTCTCAGACGGGCTCACAATGGTCTCAGACGGGCTCACATGGTCTCAGGCGGGCTCACAATGGTCTCAGACGGGCTCACAGTCACACACAAATGTTTCAAACTTTCCTTTTTTTGAGATCTGTTCACTGTTCAAACTTTCCCAGCTCAAGAGCTGTTGAAAAACTCTTGTTGCATCAACTAAGAGCCAGAGAGGCTGGGATGGGGTCCAGAGAGGCCGGGATGGGGTCCAGAGAGGCCGGGATGGGGGTCAGAGAGGCCGGGATGGGGTCAGAGAGGCCGGGATGGGGTCAGAGAGGCCGGAATGGGGGTCAAAAAGGCCGGGATGGGGGTCAGAGAGACAGGATAAAGCAGAGACATACACCACTGAAGGGTAACTCTCTCTCTCGCGCGATACACCACAATACAGTTCCTTACTGTATACTACAGTAGTTTGCTCGTTATACATCTTAATGACACTGCTCTGTAACCGAGTGATTCCTCTCTGCTCACCTTATGTACTGGCGATGAGACTTGAGAATGGTCGACTTGAGAATGGTCCAGGACGGACCGAAACGTCGTCGTCCCTTCAACTTCTAGTGTGTGGTCTGGTCAACCTTATGTACTGGTAGGAGCTGTGTCTGTCTTCTGCGATAAACCGGAGAATATTGGAAGTGGTTCGCACAGCCTCTCGGTACATTCATTCAGGACCCAGGGTGAAATCCAATTAGGTTCCTCGGTTTCGAGAAAAATCTATAGGCCACTCTGGCTGTGCCTGTCATTACGGGAACTGTACGATATGTTATTTTACAGTAACATTATTACACTGATGTAGTTATCTTAAGATAACTATAATTAGATTTATGCTCAAACCGGTTTCTTAAAGCCAGCTTGAGACGTCTTGAGTTCGGATTAGGTTTTGAGTGATCCGGAGTGTTAATCTTGGAGATGGAAAGGTTTCCATATGAATGAAATTACCGTTGCCTTTTGGGCTTACTATTTTAATATTATTTCTAATGGTTTTTGTTCCTTTAAGAAGTTCAAATATATTTGTTCAGGTGTATAATGCCTGATTATATTTTTTCATTTGATTTTAAAGGTTTTATTAACCTTTATTTTTTATTTATTTTTACACATTTGCATACCAAATTCACGCTAATTTTGTACCGGTTTCTAAGAGTTTTAACTGACTTATTATTTCAATGACAAAATATTTATTTTATTTTGTGATGTGAAATATTGATCTTAAACGTTCGATGTGAGTGTTCGGTTTCTCGGTGCGAGTGTTCGCTTTCTCGGTGCGAGTGTTTGCTTTCTCGGTGCGAGTGTTCGCTTTCTCGGTGCGAGTGTTCGCTTTCTCGGTGCGAGTGTTCGCTTTCTCGGTGCGAGTGTTCGCTTTCTCGGTGCGAGTGTTCGCTTTCTCGATGCGAGTGTTCGCTTTCTCGGTGCGAGTGTTCGCTTTCTCGGTGCGAGTGTTCGCTTTCTCGATGCAAGTGTTCGCTTTCTCGATGCGAGTGTTCGCTTTCTCGATGCAAGTGTTTGCTTTCTCGATGCGAGTGTTCGCTTTCTCGATGAGTGTTCACTTTCTCGATGCGAGTGTTCGCTTTCTCGATGCGAGTGTTCACTTTCTCGATGCGAGTGTTCGCTTTCTCGATGCGAGTGTTCGCTTTCTCGATGCGAGTGTTCACTTTCTCGATGCGAGTGTTCGCTTTCTCGATGCGAGTGTTCGCTTTCTCGATGCGAGTGTTCACTTTCTCGATGCGAGTGTTCGCTTTCTCGATGAGAGTGTTCGCTTTCTCGATGAGAGCGTTCGCTTTCTCGATGCGAGTAGTAAGAGGGATGGAGACTTCTCTCCCCCTTTCCCACTCATCCGTCCCTTTCCCTCCTGTCTACGACCCATCTCATTCATCTGCCTTAACCCACTCAGCAGGGTGGGAATCTGGGAATCACCAAACGACGGTTCGAGTCATTCCCATCGCCCCAAAATGATTTTCTCTTGATATATCACGCCATTGTGATTTCTTTGTGATATATATATATATATATATATATATGTATATATATATATATATACATATATATATATATATATATATATATATATATATATATATATATATATAATATATATATATATATATATATATATATTCAGGAAACCGGCAAAGGCAGGAGCGCATTCTCTCGGAGAAGCGAAGGTGCCTGGTGTGTCAGCTGTTGGCACCGTGCCAGTGTAAAGTGCAGCACCCTTGGCACCCCTTGGCACCCCTAGGCACCCCTCCTGCCTCGGCATATACACGGAATCCCCACCAAACACCATTTTAAACGATTCACATTATCGTCCTGTTTTCAACCAACCACGTCAGGTCTTATCGTTCGAGAGTAAGTTGTGCTCGCCTCAAAGGGAGCCGAGCGGACAGCACGCTGGACATGTGATCCTGTTGTCCTGGATTCGATCCCGGGCGCCGGCGAGAAACAATGGGCAGAGTTTCTTTCACCCTATGCCCCTGTTACCTAGCAGTAAAATAGGTACCTGGGTGTTAGTCAGCTGTCACGGGCTGCTTCCTGGGGGTGGAGGCCTGGTCGAGGACCGGGCCGCGGGGACACTAAAAAGCCCCGAAATCATCTCCAGATAACCTCAAGATAAGATAACCCACATTGATGGGTTGAGTCGTCGTGTATAGCCATTGCGAGAGCTTTCACCTTGCTTGTGGGTTGCAAGCAAGCAAGCCGTGCACAAAATCATGATTGAAAGAATAATGTATCTATGCAATATATGTATAGATGCATTTATGGTTTCTTGAAGTTATCTTGAGATGATTTCGGGGCTTAGTGTCCCCGCAGTTCGGTCCTCGACCAGGCCTCCACCCCCAGGAAGCAGCCCGTGACAGCTGACTAACTCCCAGGTACCTATTTTACTGCTAGGTAACAGGGGTCATAGGGTGAAAAGAAACTCTGCCCATTGTTTCTCGCCGGCGCCCGGGATTGAACCCGGGACGAAGACATGAGTCATGAAATAATGAATATAACAAAAAATATATGTTAGGTACTTCTACTAATATAAGTTGAACTAATACTGGTACTATTAGGACTTCTACCACCACTACCACCACTACCACCACTACCACCACTACCACCACTACCACCACCACCACCACCACCACCACCACCACTACCACCACTACCACCACTACCACCACCACCACCACTACCACCACTACCACCACTACCACCACTACCACCACTACCACCACTACCACCACTACCACTACCACCACCACCACCACTACCACCACTACCACCACTACCACCACTACCACCACCACCACCACTACCACCACTACCACCACTACCACCACTACCACCACTACCACCACCACCACCACTACCACCACTACCACCACTACCACCACTACCACTACCACCACTACCACCACTACCACCACTACCACCACTACCACCACTACCACCACCACCACTACCACCACTACCACCACTACCACCACTACCACCACTACCACTACCACCACTACCACCACTACCACCACTACCACCACCACCACTACCACCACCACCACTACCACCACTACCACCACTACACCACTACCACCACTACCACCACCACCACCACCACCACTACCACCACCACCACTACCACCACCACCACTACCACCACTACCACCACTACCACCACTACCACCACTACCACCACCACCACTACCACCACCACCACTACCACCACTACCACCACTACCACCACTACCACCACTACCACCACTAGGGTGAACCAAGTCCCCCGGAACGTAGGTTTGGTTGTGTGACCTTCGGGGTTCACAACACCAATGACGCTGCTGTTCCTTGCTCTTATGATTCTGTAATGTGTTGACATTCTTTTGTTTTCCTAATAAACAATGGAGGAACGAGAGGAGAATGGGGGAAGAGAAGGTGAATGGAGAGGTAGAATTACGGGAAGTTGCTTAGTTGAAGAGAGGGGAGAGAGAGAGAGAGAGAGAGAGAGAGAGAGAGAGAGAGAGAGAGAGAGAGAGACAGAGAGAGAGAGAGAGAGTTGAAGACCTCCAGAGGAGATGACATTTAGTGTCTTTAAATATAAGGTGAATGGACTCTTGGAAATGAATGTGTGTATGTGTGTGTGTGTGTGTGTGTGTATGTGTGTGTGTGTGTGTGTGTGTGTGTGTGTGTGTGTGTGTGTGTGTGTGTACTCACCTATATGTGCTTGCAGGATCGAGCATTGACTCTTGGATCCCGCCAGGATCCAAGAGTCCTGAGATGATTTCGAGGCTTTAGTGTCCCCGCGGCCCGGTCCTCGACCAGGCCTCCACCCCCAGGAAGCAGCCCGTGACAGCTGACTAACACCCAGGTACCTATTTTACTGCTAGGTAACAGGGGGCATAGGGTGAAAGAAACTCTGCCCATTGTTTCTCGCTGGCGCCTGGGATCGACCCCAGGACCACAGGATCACAAGTCCAGCGTGCTGTCCACTCCCTTATACCATAAATTTGTGCTCACTTTCACTAGACTCAAAATAACTTTCTTTATTATTTCACAACATCACCTTCTTTAAAAAATCTGTCACTTTCACTACCACACCTTTCATTGCTTCTAAATTTCTCCATTGCCACAGTCACTTTCTCTGCACTTTCACTCCTCTCACTTTCTACTCACGTTCGCACGGCTTGGATGAGGAAGAAGTTGAAGACTGTGAGTAGGCATAGCGGCAGCAGGATGAAAGTGACTGCCGTAAACCAGTAGTAGGTGTGGCGGTAACGTGAGTCCTGTCCAAGCTGAAAAATGTGAGAGTGAAGGTGAGTGAAAGTGAGGGGTGAAGGTGAGTGAAAGTGAGGGGTGAAGGTGAGTGAAAGTGATTGAAAGTGAGGGTGAAAGTGAGGGGTGATGGTGAGTGAAAGTGAGGGGTGATGGTGAGTGAAAATGAGGGTGAAGGTGAGTGAAAGTGAGGGTGAAAGTGAGGGGTGATGGTGAGTGAAAGTGAGGGGTGATGGTGAGTGAAAGTGAGGGGTGAAGGTGAGTGAAAGTGAGGGGTGAAGGTGAGTGAAAGTGAGGGTGAAGGTGAGTGAAAGTGAGAGTGAAGGTGAGTGAAAGTGAGGGGTGAAAGTGAGGGGTAAAAGTTTGGGTGAAAATAAAGGTGAAAGTGAGGGTGAAAGTTAAATGAAAGTGAGGGTGAAAGTAAAGGTGAAAATTAGATGAAAGTGAGGGTGAAAGTGACAATGAAAATGATTGGAGAAGCATGTGAAAAGCATGTAAACGTTAGGACACAAATAAGAGAGAAAGTGAGAAAGCTAGAGTGAAAGTAACGATAAACTGAGAGTGAGAAAGTGAACACAGGCTACAATAAACGTATAAATAAATAAATTGTAATACTGAAGGAATAATTACAATAATAAGGAGGATATTAGTTGAACAGAGAAAATATAATTTACAAATACAAAATAATTATATCATATATAAAAATCCTCTATCAAAAGCCACATAAGCTCTAATAAAACTAATGACTTCTAATAAAATAAAGTTATAGTTGCTAATTAAGCTGACTTAACCTCTGAATAAGGCTTTCTAAGCTCAGATGAGCCATGCTGTCAGAATATCAGTAATTAATTCCATTTATGACGCTAACTATGGGGCCATTAACTGGCGGGAATGGTGATTAATGTCAAGTGATTAGTGATTGATGACGGGTGAGTGATTAAGTGGTGATTGATGACGAGGGAAAAAGGATAGCAGGTTCGTTAGTTTTCCTAAACCTGATATCTGTTTTGGAAATCTACAAGTTAGATATCTTAAAATCACTTTCCTACCCCTTTGTACGTCAACTTTCAACTGTCTACTAACGATTGTGTCCAAAGTCTCGGTGCTAATAGGCTAGTTCCGTTGATTTTACGTTGAATTGAGGTTTTAATTGTGTTTTGCAATGATCATTTTGCCCCGAATCATTGCAATGATAATATGCACTTGTTTGATAACGGCTATCATAAATATCACTTTTACAGAAATATCAAATTTCTGCCAATTTTTTCTGCAAATTGAAATGAAAAAATCATAAAAAAATTATGAATCATGTTTGTCAATGATGGTCCCCAAGGGAGTTAACTCTAGCTTCTGGGCTTGGTCTAATAGGTAGTGTAATGGGTATTTTAATATCTTTATGGAGTTCCAGTACTCTGTCAGTCTTTTGATGCGCTGGAGGTGGCTTTTAGAACCTGATCTGGGACTTCTTTTCATCTTTGAGGCTCTCCTGGTCTTTCTTTCAGCTGGTGGTGGGATCTTTTCTTTTCTTCGCGTTGAATTGGGGACAATTTGACCTTGTCTACCTTGTCTTTGGATTCATTCTGGATCTCATATTGAAGTTCTCTTAACTTGTTCTCGTCATCAAGTTTGTATGAGTTCTCTTAACTTGTTCTCGTAACTCAAGTTTAGTATGAGGTTCTCTTAACTTGTTCTCGTAACTCAAGAATCTTCTCCAAGCACTCAATTTTCTTGCATATCTTTGAACCTCCTTCAATTCCCTCCTATTTCTTTAAGATGTGACTTTGTAATATATATATATATATATATATATATATATATATATATATATATATATATATATATATATATATATATATATATATATATATATATATATATTTAATTTTTGTGTATTCAAATGAGTAGAGTGGACGATTTCTGCCTCCCGTTACCAGACTGAAAACTTTCTCTTCCTGTATGTTATAGAAAGCTTTCCCTTCCTATATCTTATAGGACTCTTATCATATCTACATTTGAAACTGTGTATGGAGTCAGCCTCCACCACATCACTTCCTAGTGCATTCCATTTACTAACTACTCTGTGTGTGTGTGAGTATATTCACCTATTTGTGCTTGCGGGGGTTGAGTTCTGGCTCTTTGGTCCCGCCTCTCAACCGTCAATCAACTGGTGTACAGGTTCCTGAGCCTATTGGGCTCTATCATATCTACACTTGAAACTGTGTATGGAGTCAGCCTCCACCACATCACTGCCTAATGCATTCCACCTGTTAACTACTCTGACACTGAAAAAGTTCCTTCTAACGTTTGTGTGTGTGTTGTGTGTGTATGTGTGTGTGTGTGCGTGCGTGTGTGTGTGTGTGCGTGTGCGTGCGTGTGTGCGTGCGTGGAAACAGTATATATATAGCGGTACGCCCGCCCTTAGCAGATCCGGTGACGAATGGCGGGGAACTTTCACAAAAGCAAGACGAGAAGGGAATTTTTCAATTTAGAAGACGAACCCAATATCTTCCCCCCCCCCTCCCCCCTCTGGAGCGCCAGCAGGGATGGACAATGATGGATAGATGGATGGTGGAGGGGAGAGTGGATTGGTAAGCGTAGCCGCGGTGGATCAGTTGACAGAGGACAGGGAAAAAACTCCAGAGAGCTGGGGGAATTGTGACGGATGATAGGCTGGCAAGGAGGGTGGATAGGGGAGGGATATAGATGTAGGGAAAAGGAGGAATGGTGCCCAAACACTTGTGGTCGGTCGGGGATTGAACGCCGACCTGCATGAAGCGAGACCGTCGCTCTATCGTCCACCCCAAGACAGGAGAGGGTGCTCGGGAGGACTGAATACATATACAATGATGAACTTGGATTAAACAAAGCTCTCTGGGATCTTTCCTGGGTGCACACACACACACACCGCCCACACACACACACACCCACACACACACACCACACACACACACACACACACCACACACACAACACACACACACACACACACACTAGGTATGATAGGGAAATGGGACAGGAGTCATTGCTGTAAACAACCGATAGCTGCAAGGCGGGATCCAGAGTCAATGCTCGATCCTGCAAGCACAAATAGGTGAGTACACACACACCACACACACACACACACACACACACACACACACACAACACACACACACAACACACACACACCACCTAGTACCACGGAGTTTAAATAACGAATACAAATCTTTGACATAAATTGTCTCGCTCTCTCCTAGTACCCATTTGTCGAAGCCGGCCCTAAATTGTGATGGTGTGGGAGCCAGACCCGCTTCTTGCTCCCTTCTTGATCATACACGTTTTGTTTGTGTTGTGTGAATGTATATACGTTGTGTGTGAGTGTATATACGTTGTGTGTGTGTATATACATTGTGTGTGAATGTATATACGTTGTATAAATGTATATACGTAGTATGTGAATGTATATACATTGTTTATGAATGTATATATGTTGTGTGTGTATGTATATACGTTGTGTATGAATGTATACACAATGTGTATTTATGCACGTAAGGTCACCAGGTTTGGTTTTTTAACCAGTTCTATACTAGTGTTTCTAAGAGTTGTAATGTTCCTCACATTATACTTAGTTTCTTTGGATGACTTTATAATTTCTCTTGAAACCTTGAATGTCGTGGTCATGTCCCCCCTTCTTATTTCCTTATTATTCCCCCTTACTATACATTACCCTTATTACACCCACCCACACACTCACACACACACACGTGGACTGCTGCTAGTAGAAGACTAGAAATCTCTTTAATTGCACTTCCACCCAGCGCTCCCAAAGCAACTCATCTGCACATGCCTGACACAAACACGACTGATACTGGTGGTTCCCGACACATTGACACATTCTGAGCGACACATTGCAGTCGCTCAGAACAGACTTGAAACCCAAATGTTATAAAAAACATTAAATTCCCAAATTCAGCAGTGGAGCATACATTAATCGCTGGAACATTGATTAACAACATTAGTCTGTGATCATCCTCGAGTAATGAGCTCCAGGCCATCGGTGGTGATGGGGTTATGGTACT